AGGACTTGTGTCAAGACTAGTATTAGTTTCACTTGTCATCATACTTGATATTCCTTCAGATGTCTATTCAATGCTGTCTCTCATAAATGTTATAACAATGATAATGAGACACCAAAGGTGCGTGGCCTCACCCCTAAAGCTGCTTGGGATGTGTTATGCTTAGCTAGCCTAAGCCAGTATATTTAAATGATATAGATCAAAAGTGCTGACAGCCTGGACTAAGCAAGTGTGAAAAGTATGATGGGCAGACTTGGGTCAAATACAATGCGGAAGTATTTAAATACAAATACAAATACTGTACAAAAACAAAAATACAAATACAAATACAAATACTGTTTTCAGCTTTGTATTTAAATACAATTACAAATACTGCATACATGTATTTCAATTACAAATACAAATACTTTCTTCTCAAGTATAGACAGTTATTAACTACGTAGTTTTATGGATTAATCAATCAAGTAAATTGAAAGCCTCTTTTTATTATGCATGCATGTATAATTAATAATATTTAGTTATAGTCATGTATTGCATTTAATGAACGTTAGTGTTTCAAAGTTTTGTCGCTCAAACAGCATCTTCATTCACATTGAAGTATTTTAAAGTATTTTGCTGTATTTTGAAATACTTCCCTGCTGTATTTCAATTGCAAATACAAATACTTCCTGTTACAAAAACTCAAATTACAAATACAAATACAAATACTTTCAAAAGTATTTAAATACGACTAATTACAAATACTATTTGTATTTGACCCAAGTCTGATGATGGGACTCTAGGATCCCAAAAATTGGTAAAACGTGTTCATAAATTCCCATTAGCATCTCAAGATTTATCACTTATTTATACAGTATATTTATACTTATTGCACTCTCATTTTAAAAACATCATGGGTTTCATAACCACAGCTATTGTTGTGGTCACAATCTATCAAAAACATGCTATGCAAAAAAATTAGAAATTGTGCTTTTGAGGCCAAGGGATTATCATAACAGCTAGCTTCCTAGCTGCAGTTACACTAGCTCTTGCATGCTTGCAGAACTGGCAAGCTGCAGGGCCAACTCCCAGCTTGGTCCTGCTTGGAGACGTGGCATTAATGCAGCAAGACCATGTGAGAGGGAAGCTTCACGTTTTTTTCTCTTCTAAGCGCTATATGATGTTATAATGGCACAAATGCTGTTGCCTAGATAGATTGAGTGACTCAAGAGAGTTTAGGATCCTTAGACTAGCCATGGACTAGCGAACTACTGCTACAGCACTTTACTCGGGATGAAATTCGAGTAGCTATAACTCACCAAAAAGGAAGATTTAAAGAGTCCCACACATATTAAATAAATTAATAGTCTTGATCTACTGGGAAAGAGTCTCATTTACATCCAGAGTACTACCGCTATTGCTGGGCATTTTCTCGTGAGTTAAAAAGCTTGTACTGCCTAGAGCTGTTCTCGAAACATCTCGAAGCAGTAAAGCAAGACTTTTCCTAACAGAAGAGAAGCTCTCACAGGTTTAGAGCATGCGATTGTAAAGATATACATTCTCAAAGACAAAATCTAGCACACAGAATGAACGAGAGCACTAAAGTGCATACCCTCGCCACAATGTGTGTGTAACAATTTTAATAAATTAAGAGAAAAATAATTAGTGAAAGTTTTGACACAGAAAAGAAGCTTCAGCATGTAAAAACTTAGTGAATGTTTTGAGACAGTGAATTTTTTGTTTTTTAGACAGAGAAGAAGCTCCAGCACGCTTGCTGCACTGCTGCAGCAATGTAAAGGTGTGGCTGCAATGAAGGTGTGGCTCAATCAAGCCATGCTCCACCCGCACACACAGTAATGGTGGCACATGGCTCTAAGTGGTGAAGAAAGCTTTAGTTTTTCTCGACTTTTAAACAGTTTAGCATACATTTGTTAGGCTCTATTTGTTGCATACAAACGTCTATTGAGCCCCTGATGTTTAAAGACTCTGGCCGCTACTTCGGGAGAAGAGAGCCTCGTGTAAACTCACAAAAGTATGAATTTTTGGGCTACCATATCTTTAAAACGAAGATAATTAGAGCAATTCCTCTCATATTAATGAAAGATGAGGCTTTGCTTTATTGTTTTATCTGCCCAGTTGCTTTTTTGCTCACACTATGAAAAAGTTGTCGGGGAACTGACCTACGTTTGGCGACTTTGCCAGCTTCTTACTCCACGGAAAAGAAAAATATAGCATTCCCAAGACGGAGAATAATTTTTATAGAGCCAGTGTTGATTATAAGACTCTCCAGGACTAGACAAGAAAGCAGTGTCAGCTCAAAAGTGGAGGCCAAGCGAACACACACAGACAGGACGACTGCTTTACCTAGCCTGACTATGCTTTACCCTCGCTTAGTGATGGGCGATATATCGATTCTTTATCGATATAAACGATATTTTACGGAATCGATTTGAATCATTATCGAAAATTTTATGCAATTTTCATCGATCTATTGACCACGCCCATTTATTAAGGTTAAATAACTAATTTTAATAAGTAATTGCACTGTTGGACTGCAGGAAAGAATCAACTGACCAGTTGTTAGCTCAGCCTACTTCAATAGGAAGAGAACCAAGCTCAGGAGCATGGAAATGATTAGGAAATGAACTTCTCTGATGTCCAGTACAGTTATATCTGTGCTAAAAATCATTAGCCACACCCTTGACACACCCCCAAAATAAGGTGTGGTTATCGTATCGTTAATAATCGATATTTCCTGAAAAAGTCCATTATCGATCGTTATCGAAAATTAAGAAAATTGGCCATATCGCCCATCACTACCCTCGCTTCCACGCCTACGCGTGGGCTCGGGTAACGAGTGCACTATAGCACATGCCCTCGCCACAATCAGTGAAGTGTAACACAACAAAAGTGAAACAGTAATGGTTTTTTTCAAGAAAAATTGGAAAGAATGTTGCTGACTTTCTGTTTAGCTACCTTGCTGCTGCAGCAATTAAAGGTGTGGCTGGAATGAAAGGTGCAGGTGTGGCTCAGCTCAATCAAAATTGCACCTCCCAGTTTAGTAAAATGGTGCCATGTGGCCTTAGGCCACTCCAATTAAATTTATAGTTTCCCGTTACCCGCCCGCACCCTCCCGCTTCATTTTTTAATTAAAATAATTTATTTTTTATTATCACCTCGTGGTAGCTAAAATGGAGTAGCTCCAGGAGTAGCTATCACTTTTCACAGGTTTTTGGTGTGTAAAACTATCCCTGCTTCAGGCATTTATGTCTTTTCTTTCAGATACTAGATAATTTTAGTTTTTCGAGTGGGGCTTTTATCACCGACACTGGCAACAGCCTCTAGTGCTGTCCCACCGACCTACGTATCTGTCGTCAGTCCAGTTGTTATTTCACCAGATATTCTGGTATTTATAATCTCAATTGAATATACGCTTAGTCTAGTTAGTATACACCCGGTTCTTTTCGTTCATTCTGCCTTTTATCTTTCTCTGAAACGTCCATAAGTATATATGTCACTTGAAATCCACACTTGATTATCATTGCCTTAGGACCTGCTGACTAAGCTCGTATCAGTCGTATTTATTGTACTGTCTCTCTGTTGTCGACTCCTATCACTCAGTATGTCACTTTATTTTATTGCTAAGTCTGTCTTTATATTGTCTTATTGTAGTACTAAGTACATACCAACTTGTGTGTACTATATATTGTGGACTCAGACCTCACTTAGTAGATCTTATTTTAAGACTGCATTGTAAAGACTCATCCATAAGTATGTCACTTCTTTTGAAATCTTATCATAAAAATTTATATTGTCTCATTGTATATATATATATAGTATTATCCCTCACAAGATCTCATGAGTATATTCTCATCTGCTTTTTTCGTTTTGTTCCTGCTACTATTTTTTGTTTGTTTTGTACATTCTACGAGTATCATTAGCTCCCAATTAAGTCCAGTCATGTGTTCTATGCTTCATCTCGTTAATACAACAGCCGTTGTGACTCCTCCATTAGCTAAAACAGTGTTTTCGTGGACGATTCTGAAGGTATCTGATGAGGAGAGTACAATAGAGGGATTTTTTAGTAGCAATGTCAGACCACGGCTCTTATTTGCTTTTTGTGAGATTGAGTCTGCTCTTGTTGGTCCTGAGAAAGGGTTGCTAGATGGTGTTGATATTAACTTGCCAATAGTGGGTGTTATGAATTCGTTTGGGCACTTCCTGAAATATGTTGTTAAATGCTCTAACCCCACTTCTACTGCAACTGATACTTTTGATATTCTAAAATGTGGAGTTGCATCCTGTTTCATATGTTCACCTATTCGTCTTCCCTTGAATGTTTTCAACCAACTCAGACATCTTCCCCTTCTGATTCCTGATCAAAACGAGACACCTACGGTGCATGGCCTCGCCCCTATAGCTGCTATGGTGCATGCCCGCACTTCAATAACTGTTTGATTATCAGCATGAAGAGAGTCTGCTCAACACTAGCTTCCTACAGTTGTACTTGCTCTTGAATACCTGCAGAAGTAGCAGCACTGCAGCACATATATGCAAGCAGCTCCAGCCCCTCCCATGCATGTAGATTGAATTGAAAGGTGTGGCAGGCAGCAAGACTGAAGACCATGTGAGAAAGAAGCTTCACTTTTTCTTTACTAATCAGCAATATGATAAACTTGCTGACAAAAAAAGTTGCTGCCTTTGTATATTTGAGATAGTATAGGTACTTTACTGCCTATAACCCAGCAAGTTGTTGCTCTAGCGCTGCACAAACGAGTGACCTCAACAATTTCAAGTAAGTATAACTCTTCATCAAGTAAGATTTAGAGAAATCTGTTCATAATTTTTGAAGGCCATGTTCTAATCTACTGAAAAATGCTACCAGCTATCTCTAAAGTGCCAACACAACGGAACTTGGCCCAACTACTCGATTTTCTTACTTTGAAGCTTCTGTACCTAGCACTTGTATTTGAGCAACACAAAACAGTTAAGAAAGACTTTTCCACGTCAAAAAGAAAGATCTAGGAGCTTAGAACACGCTGTGCTAAAGTTATTGTTTATTAAAAACAAATTTCAGTTGTACAGAATGAATGAATGAATGACAGACACACACAACAACTACCTATACCTCGCGTAGACGAGGCCAAAAATGATGGCCACTATCTTCCTTTTCAAGATGTATTTGGCTCTCAGACAAGTGAAGAACACCGGCCTTTATATAAGAAGGGTACAGTTGCTAAACAGGGAAGAAGAAAGAGGAAGCTACCATATTACGCCAGTGTACAACACGTCAGGAACTCACAACTAATGGTGCAGTGTTCTGAATGCAGTCTATGGCGTTTAATATTCTCTAAATATAGACTAACTAAGGAACAGCGTGAAGCATTGCAGCAATTAATTGAGGACTTTGAGTATACTTGTGGGGCTACACTAAAAGATTTACATCTACCTGCAGAATTTGATGATGTTGACGTAAGGGATCATGACTGTTTCGATACTATAGAGAGACTGTATTATAGTGCAAAATATGCACCTATTTGTATATACTGTGGCATTGAGCAGTCATATAGTGATGAAAGGAGCTATCCACAGTGCCTTTTGTGCAAGGATAAGCCCACTGTTGTTAAAAAATAAAATATTCTTTTTTTTGTGATTATAATGAATATTCATAATAATAATTAATTATGCGCCCGCCCGCATGGTACCCGCCTCTGAAACGGGAAACTATTAATTTAATTGGAGTGGCACTTACTGTGGACAGAAAGCTTTAGTTTTTCTAGGCATGCACACAGTTTTACACAGATTTGTTAGGCTCTACTTGTTTCATGCAATTACTATATCCAGTTTCTTCAGTTTCGAGGCAGTAGCCACCTTCTCAGAGAGGAGCCGCTACGCTACAAAATCACAGTGGCTGGTGAGTCACACTTAAGCTGTCATATCTCACAAACGAAGGAAAGTCAAGCAATTCCACACATACTTTTTGCTCTCCATGTTTTCCTTTACCTGTTGTTGCCTTCAAAGGTACCATAGCTTCAACTATGCAAAAGTTACTAGTAAACTTTTTCTGTTCTTAAATGCTGCCAACTTTTGCCACCTTGGAAAAGAACAAAAGAGTTTATTATAGAAAAAGAACAACTTTTTCTGTACCTAATTGGCAAAAGAAATGCTCTGAAGAGTTTGACTAAAAAGTAGCATCAGCCAAAAAATCATCCATGATTGAAAATTTTGCTAACACACACACACACACACACACACACACACACTGACAGCACGAGCGCAGTACCCTCGCCTATACGCCTACGGCGTGGGCGAGGGCAATGAATGACAGACAGACAAACCATAGATATTATAGACTACGTAACCTATTATTATAGGTTACGTAGGTTAGGTTACTACGTATTATAGGTTACGTAGTCTATAATATCTATGGACAAACCGAGTACCTAGTCCTCGCCTACGCAAAGCTGGGCGAGGCCAACTACGCAAAGCTGGGCGAGGCCAATAATAATAAAGAAAATTATTGTTTGTGTAAAATCAACAAGTATCACAATTGCAACTAAAGAAATACGCTAAATATTATTTTAAAAATCAACACAAACAAGAACATAAAAAATTAAAAAAAAAAACAAGATGAAGTAGGATTCTGAACAACCAACAAATTTACGAAATATTATTAAAAAATCAACACAAACAAGAACATAAAAAATTTAAAAAAACAAGATGAAGTAGGATTCCGAACGACCAACGAAAATACGAAATGAAAATCCTACTCGTGACGCAAATTCTACTCTACATTGCAAGGTGATCCGTAATTCTTACATAATAACATTAAAAGTACAATGTAGAGTAGAATTTGCGTCACGAGTAAGATTTTCATTTCGTATTTTCATTGGTCGTTCGGAATCCTACTTCATCTTGTTTTTTTTTAATTTTTTATGTTCTTTATGGACATGGTTTGGTAGAACTTTTAGGACTGACTAAAAATAGTTGTCACTCCTCAACATTGTTTTTTCTGAAGAATACTTGCTATGATTCTATTCTATTTTGTTACAAGCAGATCAGTTCTCTAAAGCAGGTTCATATCAATGATATCATTATTTATTATAGTAACAGTCAGTTAATAAATAATGACACATATACCTTTATCATCATCTTCATCTCTCAATTTAACAATTTCAGCTAACAAAGTCAATTTTTTCCTCCACTCTGATTAATAACTATACATTATTAATAAAAATTTATACTGTACCTCTTATTACATCTCTATAATCTTCATTCTCTTCTCCTTTATTAAATATATGTGCACTAATTACTGATATTTGTTCTTTTAGTTCAGCTAATTCTCTCTTAATATCTATTAATGATTCATTCTGATCCAGTAAACCTATCATAGTATAATTATAATACACTAACACATACATTATGATTCAGTACCAGTTTTATTTGTTAATAATAATTGCAATTGTTCTATTTCCATTCTCATTCCTCTTCTGATTCTGTATGATGCTACAAATAAATAATAATAATGATAATAATAGTATTAATAATAATGATGATGATAATGTTGCTGATGATGATAATCCTAACCTGAACTAGTATCTGTGCCTAATGACAAGTTTTGCTGAATTTCCTTTACTCTCATTTCTACATTATTTCAATTATAATTAATAAATTTTATTATACTTACTTGTTAGTGCTTCTTCTAATTGTTTGTTTGTTTTTATTTCTTTTATTAATTGTTTATTAACTATTGTCACACTTGTATCAGTTGATAGTATATCTGAAATATAATAATTATTCATCAATTAATAATACTGGTCAACAACCATTACATTAATGTATTATTATACCTTGATTAATTACTGATTGAGGTATTGCTCCTTCTGTTTCCTTTCTTTCTATTCTTGCTACTCTCTCTTCCTATAATTCAAATACAGTAATCTTGGCACATGCAAGGAACACTTTCAAAAATGTAACAATTAAATTAAACCTAATAATTTATGATACTTTAATTGTGTAATAATCAAACACAAAGATAAGAAAAAAATGTAGTTGATACCTCCTCTTTCAGTGGTTCCTGTATTCCCTTTATAATACAGTATATAATGATAATTACTGACAGTATATACACATACTTGTATCTTTTGTTTCTTCCATATTGTGCAGTATCCAACAGTAAGCTTCATTAGACCATTCTTTATTAATAATTCAAGATTCTCACTCACTTTTATAATGAGAGCTCCAGTGAGAGAGTGAGGGAAGGAGCAAGTGACAATGATGGAGTTTCCTTTCTTGATATATTTTATTTTTGCTAGTTTACCAGACGCTTTGGAAACGATTTTTTTAATATCCTGTAGCATGTGGTCATCTGGTTCCCAGTCAAAGACATATGTAACTGTTTCACATTGAAGAGAAGGACTACCTCCTAATGCTTCAAATTTCTCATTTAAGCAAAGACTAATCTTTACTGTGCGACAAAACTCTTTTAATATGGCTTTGTATTTTTCGATATATTTTTCAGCTTCTTTGATTTTAAATTCTTCAACCAGTGATTGAAGCAGCTTAATATTGATCAATGAACACTCTTTCTCTATTATGGACAATACTTCAGAAATATCTGTACATTCATCTAATGATGCTTTGAGGCTACTCTTAAAGCAACAAAGATATTCCTTGATGTCATCTAATGGTGGTGGCTTGTTCTTCATGATTCTACGAACTTTGTATAACATTCCAGCATAAGACGTTTGTATCGAAGTGAATTCAACACTCATGCACTCAGGAATGGCTATCTCAACTATTGAGAAATAAAAATAAATTACAGTTTTATTATTAATATTATACCTACCAGTTGGTGTATTAGGTAGAGTAGGTGATGGTGTAGTTGTTCCAGTGCTTAATGTATCAGTGCTCATATCATCATCAGGAATAACAACTTTAATAAGCTTCTTATCATCATTGAAGCATTGGTCTATGAAACAAATTATGAGCATCATTGCTCAAACGTAACAGGCTTACCATAGTCTCTTTGTATAGCTGTTCCTAGTTTTACATTACCAGTGAACTTGCACAACACACTAGCAAATGTTTGTAGTAAACTATACTTGCTTTGAATAGCTACTATAATGGCAGCTAACAGGACTTCACGTTGATTAGGAACAGAGGGACTAGCTAATTCCACACTAGCCAATACTTGTCCTGTTATGACACCCTCTCTTTGAAGCATAATAGTTACACTGACAGGATCAGAGAGAGACTGAGAGAGGAGTGGATGATGAGTGTTGAATATATCAATAGCCTTAGCTTTACGTTCTATAGAATACACAAACACAGTCAATACTAATACAATCAGTGATATTAACTTACTCTCTTGATCTAACTTGTCAGCTGCAGCATTCTCATTCATAGATTTAAGAGCATCTGACAGTGAGTCAAAGGTAGCTCCTCCTTTACTGTCAACATTATCAGCTCTACGCAACCACTTGGAGATACACTCTGTCAAGCAGCGAGGTATATCATCAGAAAAAATTACTTCCAAAACATCCAGTGTGTATTTATGAAGTCCTAGTGTCAGTCCCAGCTCATGCCATCTTGTCTGAGGGAAACCACATCTCTTCAACAGATCAAGTTAAGTACATCAATTAGTTGATCTAAAATCATATTCAATGATACATAGATAGTTAATGAACATTACCAATAGTCAAAGGAGAAGAGAAGAGATTCAGAGAAGCTTTAGTTGAGGGTTTAGTTGCCATTACACTGTTTACACAAGCTTCACCGGATGCAAGTTTTGCAAAGGGAATGAAAAGGAGAGGCTCGTTTAGGGCGGGGCTGTGTACGAGATCTTTTAACCTTAACCCTCAACATGGCAGTATATACAAGCTACGCCCAGTCGCCCACCATCACATGGCCTCAGATGAGATAAAGTTGAAAAGATTAGCTGAGAAATTGTGTCAGAAAGAAGCTTGCGCCATTCAATACTGCCTCCAAGGTCAGTATACTTCATAATAAATCAATATTTCTTTATTAACAGGTAGTAATTACCAGGAGGATAAGTGTACTAGGGAGAAACAGGCCCTCATTGACTGCTGTAATAAATTGAGTCAAAATATTCTGGAACATTCTACACACTGTGGCCTCTCTTCAATAAAAAAGAAATAAAATACTATCAATAGGATAACAATGGACAATAGCTTAATGGTGAATAGAAATGTATTAATCTACCTGTACATATGTACATGTATAACATGTTTTGTCATGTTCCTTACCTCAAGTATATTAATGTACTTGTATGTATTGTGTAATACATAATAATTTTGTTGCTATTAATATTAATAGTTTAAACTATTGCAAAGCATACCCATCATGAAAATGTCATTAATATTAATAATGTGTACTATCAATAAGAAGAAATATCCCTCTCTCTCTCTCTCTTTCTCTATCAGGATCATGTTAAAGCTAATCGTTCAAAGAGTCTACAGTTTCTATTAAGAATCATTACATTAACTTGTGGACTATTGTTTATATTATCAGGAATAATGTGAGTCAATTACTTATAATAGCTATTGATAATAATAATAGTAATAATGTAATTACGTGTATGTGTATGTGCATGCACATGTATACAAGGAGTTAATATTAATATTAATATGTATATGATATATGAGAAATTAATATTGGTAATTGGTGATTTTATGAAGAAATTCACCAAGTAACTTCCACAGACAAATTCGCCAAATATTACTCTCGCCAATTAATCATCTTGTACGATATGATGATAATATTGTCCTCTTCTCTCTCTCCCAGTGTTTCACCTTATACTGGTGTGTCCTCCTATTATTATGCTTTCCTTTCTTCTTTGCTCACTTTTGGTATTCAACTCAACAAGAGAATGACAGAGAACCAGGCAAGAAGTTACTAATGTACTTTCAGTTATTGTTTTCAATATTCATTATAATAACAACCATACAATGTTTATAATATCATTGTTATTAAGTACATAAAAAGGGTTACATGTATTTACAAGTACATGAAATACAGCATAGTGTTACATGTACATGCGTGCAACTTACATGTACAATATACATGTAGCTCTTAAATGTGTTATTTATTCTTGTTTTTTAGGTGTCGTTGGTTAGTCGTGCGTTTATCAACCTGTTGGTTACTGAGGACAGTGGACACTATGTGCTATATAGCTTCTTCTTTTATAATCAATACCCCAATATTAGTGGGTTAAAGGGGAGGGGGAGGGAGGGATTTGTGAGGGAGAGAGGGAGGGATGGGTGAGGGAGAGGGAGAGGGAGGGAGAGAGAGGGAGGGTGGGAGAGAGAGGGGGGGAGGGGGAGAGGGAGGGAGAAAGGGAGGAAGAGTTATTATAGAGACTGTCTAGTTGGATTCTTAAGATGTTAAAGAAGGAGAGGGAGAGAGAAAGTTGGAGAGGATATATCTTGTACATATTATTGTTTTATAATATTTCTTTATTTTCTAGTTCATCTTTTTCCAATTGTTCTTTATGCTTTTCTTGGCATTGCACGCTTCATGCAAGAAATTCACCAAGTAATAATAATTAATAATAATTATCATTATTATTATTATTTATGTAGCTTGTATCGCCTAGTGTTGCAAGGTATAACAAATAATATAGAATTATTATTTATTTATTATTGTTATTATTAGTAAATTATTAGTAATCTCAAGATGGGCTTCAGTAAACCAGTCCCCAGTCCACAGGTTCATTGCTTATTGTGAAGTGTTTACATTTCCTATTATGCTATGGGAGATACTAGCGTGAGTCAACATGTACAGTACATGTACTTATTGTACAGTTGGTATAAGTCAAGGGAGATTGATCTTATGATGTCCTTATGCTGTGTAGCAAGTTTGAGCTGATTCCTACTTCAATTTTTCAAGTTACAGCCATTTTTAAAAATGAGCCAAAATCTGAAAAATACCCAAGGCTATAGCCCATGGTTTTTTCCAAAAAATGGCTCCGAAATCACCCCAAATTTTTATTACATTTTCTGATATATATTGACGTACTTATTCTGTATAGAAAGTTTGAGCTGATTCCGACGTCGATTTTTCAAGTTATGGCCATTTTGAATAATTTACCACTTTCCTGCACTACATGTACATATCCATGCTTTGTAATCAAAATTGTTCATCTTATGTACATTTTAGATACTAAGCATGATTCTCTCTCTCTCTCTTTATTACAGTGGTCATATGTTCATTCTGGCTCCTTTGTTTTATTATAATTTTCTAAAAATGAGATACACCTCAAGGAGAAACGGCAGTGTTAGGTAAGAACTACATGTACATTTGTCGTATTGATGCCTCACTTTTACTCTCGTCATTTTTTCTCTCTATTTTATTCTTTTTCTAACCTTCTCTCACTCTACCTCCTTGTCTCTCTTTCTTTCCTATTTCACTCTCTCTCCCTCCCTCCCTTTCTCCCTCTCTCCTCCAGGATGGTATTTAGTGAGCTCCACACTTCTGCCTGTTTCATTGCTGCTCACAGAAACTGTCCCACAATTATATCCAGTGTCATTTATAAAATGGACTCTGTCATATCAAGACTGAACCCAATAGTAACTACAACTACTCCTCCTCCTCCTCCTCGAACAGAGTGAAGAGAGAGAGAGGGAGGGACAATGTGTATATGTATATGTATTAATAATACGATAATTTGTATGTGACATACGTTTAGTAATTTTTTGTTTTATTTTTATTTAAAAAGAGAGAAACTGTTTGTAGAGATAGAGAGAGTCAGAAATACATATAATTTAGAACTTAAAAAAATTTACATAATTATTAATAATTTTCTGTTTATTATTTGTGACCATAATTGACAAAAGGGCCCTTATGGCGGATTTTTCAAATGATTGTTATAATGGAAAATATCAACCTGTGAGTGCTTTGTTAGACAATCATTGTTTGTAAAAGTTTCATGGTAACTTTTTGCATCCTGTGGAGTAATTTTATGATGAATGGGGCTCAGGAAGTTGGATTTCTTAGGCTAGAAAGACAAATTTCACTACCCGCCATAAGGTACCTTTTGTCAATTATGGTCACATTTTAGACTATTAATTTCTAGTTTTATTTTCTCGTCTTTAATTAAATCCATAGGATACTCTCCTTTATTGTTAGTCACGTTTAGAAGTGACGGCGAATTATTAATTATTAATTTAATTATGTTTACGTCACCTCCTTCAGCACCCTGAATCATAAACAAAAACAACAAACAAATAATTAAAAATATATAATATTTAATACTTTATGTAAAGCTGTCATTCCGTCACTGTCTTTCAAGGAAGGATCTGCGTTGTTGCTTAGCAACAGCTTGACGATGTTACCATGGCGACTATAAGCCGCCCTGTGTAGTGGTGTGACTCCACCTAAAGAAGAGCAGTAATACCGTATAGCGGAAAATTTTCGTGGATTTCGTGTTTTTTCAAAATCCACGAAAATTAATCCAATACAGTTCAAGATGGCCAAAAAGTAGAAAACCATAAAAATTAAAGCCACGAAATTGATTTTTGAACAGATCCACGAAATTTTTGGGCCACAAAAATTTTCCACTATATGGTACATACTGTACCTATACATGTACATGTACATGCCTAGTCTTGGTATTATCTATGTAAACTGTCAAACAGCTGCAGTACTTGAATGTGTAAACAATCTGTAAACCTCAAAGAAACTCATTTAAGAGGCCTAATCTTTAAAATTTTGACTTCCCAAACAAAACCCTTCAATCCTGGTTGACCACACCCACTAATTACCCCACCCATATCATTAAGGCCACCCCAAAAATTCAATACTAGATCTGTCCCTAATATACATTAATACACTCATTTGCAATATCAATCAAATCAACAACCGACAGGCTAATCGTATCATAAATAGTGATGGGCAATATATCAATTCTTTATCGACATAAGATATTTTATGGAATAAATTTGAATTATCATCAAAATTTTTATGCAATTTTTGTCAATGTATTGACCACACCCATTTATTAAGGTTAATAAATAATTGTAATAAGAAGGCAAGAGCATGAAAGTGATCTTCTCTCATGAATCGTATCATTAATAATCAATATTTTCCTTTTAAAAGTCCATTATCGATTGTTATCGAAAATTAAGAAAATTGGCCATATCGCCCGTCACTAATTGACAAATCAATCATGAAAATGAAAGTTGAAAATTAAAAAATAAAGACATGACAAAAGACAGGACAAGTTCATTGTCCTCTCCAAAAAATTTCCCTGCAATCCTGTTCTGGATTCCAGTTGCAAGTTCATATTATATTCTACTTCCACATCAATCCTACTTTATATAGTGAATAAATTTGACCAGGCTATCGTGGGTCGTACTCTATGAATATCACTAACAGACCACATCAAAGGAACACAGTTTATATAGGTAGTTAAGTACAAGCCAACCACACTAAATTGATTAATTTTACAGTTTTAATGATATTCATTAGGATCATAGCCAGGGGGGGCAAGGGGGCAAATGCCCCCTTTCATAAATCAAAATTTTAGATTAAGAAAATAATAATGGAATCGTACTTGTATCGAAGGAGAAATGGGAATTGTTTGAAAGGGTTCCGAATTAAACCACACCCAAAAAAACCCCCCTTTAATATTAAACCAGTAGTTAATACATTAATTATTTATTATTGTTACATTTTAGTGCTGATGAAGTACCATATAGCTAGAAATTTCTGTGGCCCAAAATTTCTGCGAATTGCCAAAAAATGGCTTTTGCGGATTTTATTTTTGCGAATTCACTTGATCACACTACTGATCAATGGCTGCTCTTCACTACTTACCAGAACTGTATAGCTGATGATGACACAAAGCTCTATCAGGATATTAGGCAAGATAGGATTACTCTTTGACGTAGAACAGTGCTAGGAAAACGCCATGTGCTTCACTATAATTACACTGAGAAGAGGCGTGGCAAGCCACACCTTTTAATTTACCTATTTTTTGCAGATTTAATTTTTGCAATTTTGTTCAAATTCGCAAAATTCGCAAAAATTTTGGGCCACAGAAATTTCTAGCTATACGGTACTTAGAATTGGTATTCAATTCCATCAATTCCAGTCTCAAAAGTATTTGGAACTGGAGTCAATTGCAAATTTCTGGATTCACCCATCATTTTTTAAAATTAAAAAAACCCAATAAATAATAATCAATGCATATGCATTAAAAGAAAATTACAATATCAAATCAAAGAACTATTAATTTTTTCATAATACAATCATACAAGACAGGACAAGTAGAATGTCCATCCAAAAATTTTTTTTTTACAGGAGTGATGCTGTCCAGGGTTCTCAGTCCACTAATATTAAGAATGCTACTTTATATAGTGAATATATTTGACCAGGCTATCGTGGGTCGTACTCTATGTATATCATTAACACAGCACATCAAAGGAACACAGTTTATATAGGTAGTTAAGTGAAAGTAGACCACACTAATGATATTCACATTTTAATCAAGTGAAAGTTGTTTTATAGACATCACAAAATCAAAACAGCTGGAGGCGCAAAATATAAAGTCTACTTGAATCCTTATAATCTCCAGTACTCTCAATTATTCATAAATTTTAAAGTCATAATAGCCTTTAAAATCAGCTACATTTGTTGTTACAACTAGTTTTGCCTGACTAGTAAAAAAGATCAATCAAGTTTGACAAGTGAAAAGTTTTTACTGCATAATAGCTGGAAATTTTGGAGGGAGAGAATTTAGCAAACTTAGCATTTTGATAACCATTCGCAAAAAATAAAAATCTGACACTTTGAGCCATATTATGGACATGCTCAATGCATCACAGAAGGACACAAATGCACCAAATTAAAACTCGCAAATCATCAAAAATTTACCAATTTACTTCCACCAAAATTGCCAGTAATGCGGTATTGGCGTCAATCCAAGCTATGTATGGTATAACTATTATTGGCGTTAATTTATTCAATTTAGCGAAATTTGCTAAAATTAGTAACATCATAAAAATTTTGTATAATAATAATTATATACCTGGCGTCTGTGGGTTGGGGTCAGCCCCTGCTATTAAAAGCTTGTGAACTACACCATAATGTCCGTGTCTACTAGCGTAATGCTAATTATTAATAAAAATGAAATTTTAAAAATTAATAAAGTTTTTTAGTTACCAAAGGGGAGTATCCGGAAGTATCCTGGATGTTTGGGTCCGTACCTTCAGATAACATCCGTGTCACTGTCCGTTCATCTCCGTCCATTGCAGCATTCCAGATCCCTCTAGAAAACTCAAGCTCCTACAATATGTATAAAAAAACTCATTCATTATATCAATAGTACGATACTTGTATTGATTGAGACCCTGTCGTGTTAGAAATACAAGAGCAATCAGAGTGGTCCCCACAATCCGCCATCTTGTTTTAATATACGGACGGTAGGACCCATATACGGATATTAGATAATCCCGTATTTGTTAATAAGATCATTGGGATGCTTCAGTTATCGCCTTCATCGCGAGCCTCTTTCTCCTCTTCCCTCTCCTAATCTACAGGTTAGTCAATGGTATATTAAAGCCCATACTCTCTTCTGTTAGTAGGATTACAGAAATGGCGGGTCCCAGCTTCTCTTTTCTCTCAATCTCATTCATTTCCCTTTTATTCCTCACTGTGACTCAGGCCGAGTCTGTCTCACTGTATATATTAGCATCAGAGACAACTGGTAATAAATAAATATATATCTATTCTTTAATTTTAAATATTATATTGTGTTGATTTATAATTATTCTTATTGTTTTTTTTAATAATTATTATTTCTAATTTCTGTGTACACTTGTAATACTTTTGTGGTTGTAACCAAAACACTTACCACAATAAGAGCACTGATGTATCTTCACTCTCACCATACTGTGTAATACTTACTATCCTTTCTACATGTGTACTTCTCTCTCTCTCACTGTCTGTCTCTCTCCCCTCCCTCCCTCTCTCTCTCCCTCCCTCTCTCTCTCTCTCTCCCTCCCTCTCTCTCTCTCTCCCTCCCTCCCTCTCTCCCTCCCTCTCTCTCCCTCTCTCTCTCTCCCTCCCTCTCTTTCTCCCTCCCTCCCTCTCTCTTCCTCCCTCTCTTTCTCCCTCCCTCTCTCTCTCTCCCTCCCTCTCTCTCTCCCTAGGTATATCTGATGATATTGACCTAATAAGTAATGGCACTAATGTTCATAACTGGGTAGTACCACAAGCTCTTATTTCTAATGGTGCACTATTAACTTTTAATGTATCTGAATCATACATAGTAAGAAGATGAAAGAGAGAGGGAGGGAGAGAGAGAGAGAGAGAGGGAAAGAGAGAGAGAGAGGGAAAGAGAGAGAGAGAGAAAGAGAGAGAGAGAGAGAGAGACGCACACATAGTAACATTGCTATTACTACATATCTTCATGATGTTGTCTGTTACAGTTGACTTATGCAACTAATTGCACTGGATCAAAGTACCTGTCCTGTCCTGTTTTCACTAGCAATGCGTCTCACATTAAAGACATTGGGAAAGGTATACAGTAATTCCTTTAGATAATACATGTATTATGTATAGGTATTCATGTACATGTGCAGTCATATGTGATACAGTATACAGTATTCTTTTACTCCATGTTGTTATTATTCTTATTTGATCATATTTCTTTGATGTCTGTGGCTCATAGTTACATGTGTATGTACACGTATGTGTTCATGTATGTGTGTGTGTGAACACCTGCTCTTAGTATGTTCAACAATAATTAATTTTTTTGATTTTTTGTATTGTGTCACTTATCGTGTTTATTACTCCTTCTTATCTCTCTGTCTCTGTTTTGTCTCTTTCCCTTCCTCTCTCACTCACTCTCTCCCTCCCTCTCTCTCCCTCCCTCCCTCCCTCTCCCTCCCTTCCTCTTCCTCTCCCTCCCTTCCTCTTCCTCTCCCTCCCTTCCTCCCTCCCTCTCTCTCTCCCTCTCTATCTCCCTCTCTCTCCCCCTCCAGTAATGATGACAGTTTCATGTTCTCTCAATCAGGATACTATTGTTAATGAAGTGTTGAATTTCTCTTATCGTTGGACCAAGTTAGAGTCTGGAGTATTTAATGATCACTTTATAATAACTATCAATAACATACAATGTAAGGAAGAGAGAGGGAGGGAGGGAGGAAAGAGAGGGGGGAGAGGGAGGGAGGGAGGAAAGAGGGGTAGGAATAAAAGCTGCAAAAGATGAAATGTAAAGTTTTCTTTATAGTGTAAGGAAAGCATTCCCTCAAGTGCATTTTATAGC